TTCCATCTTGCAGTCTTGCTTCGCTTATCGGTCCCCCTCTGCTCGCTCACTCCAATGACTCATTTCTTCACTCTTTTTATCTCTTTCTCTCTCTTCCCCCCGTCCCTTCACCCTCTATCGCTCCCTCTTACAACCGCCTACCTCCCTCACACACACACACACACACACACACACACACACACACACACACACACACACACACACACACACACACACACACACACACACACACACACACACACACACACACACACACACACACACACACACATGCACATCCACATACACATACACATACACATACACATACACATACACGCACACACACAGAGGCAGCGGTGACACACTTCCTAGCCTAACCCACTTGGTCAGCGGGAGCAAGTTGTAGTAGTGGCAGTGAAACCTGTTTTTATTGGCATTTTCTTTAGCCTCCGCCATCGTCACTGTAAATCCTCGTCTTCGTCATCACCGTCATCGCCATCTTCATCGTCATCGTCATCGCCATCGCCGTTAATAATGTATAATCATCACCATCGGTATCATTTATTTTTCTTGTGGTTCTACGTTCAGAATGATGGTGGTAATGGGATGGATGATGGTGGTGGTGATGATGATGATGATGATGATGATGATGATGATGATGATGATGATGATGATGATGTTAGAGATGGTGAAATCGCAGGCCCTCGTCTCCTGATGTTGGGAAACGTGTTAGCATGTGTTTTGCGCTCGTTGGTGGGTGTGACCTGCGTTGACCTACATGGTAGAAAATGTGTGTGTGTGTGTGTGTGTGTGTGTGTGTTTGTGTTTATGCGTGTGCATATGTTTATCTTTGTATAGACTACTGCTTTATTTATATTTGCATCCGTTGTTATTGAATCTCAGATTTTGTTGATGTGACTAATGACATGCAGAAAACTTGCGATAGAAAGTGATTAGTCACACACATGTACGTATGTATACATAGATATATACATACATACATACATATATATCCCCCCCCACATATATATATATATATATATATATATATATATATATATATATATATATATATATATATATATATGTATATGTAAGACAGGGAGTATTTGCTGCGAGCTAATGAACGCCAACGGACGCCGAGATCCAGTTGTTGCAGCATTTGTTTTGATCAAGTCAGCTGATGCTTCGCGGCGCGAGGGGGGGGGGGCATGGAGGGGCCAGAAAGGGAGCATGTTTGTAGGCCATTCCGAGAGCCCGCGGGGTTGCGGCTGGGGTTGGGGGTGCGAGGGAAGCCTGACGAACGCAGCGGGAGGGTCTGACGTGAACCCAACTTGACCCAACCTCACCCAGCCTCCGTGTGCGTCGCCGGGGTCTGGGCGGCCTCCAGCTGGGTGCCAGGGCTGGTGACACGGGCGGAGCGCTCAGTGGCCCGCTGTCTCTTGGTCTGCGTGTGCGCGTGGGTGGCCGAGGTAGTGCGAAGCGCAAGCGGTCTGCGAACCGGTTGCGATGTGATGCGATTTGCAGAAATCCCTTTGGCCAGAAGAGGACCGTTGGCGCAGGAAGCCAGTAGTGAAGTGTCATGTGCACGCGTGCGTCACACCGAGTGGCAGTGGTGCTCAGGAAAGAAGAATACTAAGCTTAGTGTGGGTCCCTGGCGGAATGCAAGGCTGCTCGCGGAGGCGCCGTTGAGCCGAGGCAAGTGCGACTGCAACGCTGGCTACGCCCGAAGACAGCCCTCCCAGCCCTCCCGCGTCCAGGCTCTCGCTCACGCCCCTGCTCAGCGCCGCATCGAGCACCTCGGTGTCCCCGATCTGCACGCCGTACTCCCCGTCGGGCACTCCGACGGCGCCTCTGGGCACGCCATTCTCTCCCCCGGGGACTCCGGCCGCGCCCGCAGGCACTCCCTTCTCCCCCATAGGCACTCCGTTCTCCCCTTCGGGTTCGCCCTCGGGCGAGCGGAGTCCTCCGGGTGAGAGGGAGAGTGCGCCGCCCTCGGAGGGCGAGGAGGCTGAGGGGACTGACGATGCAGGCGCCATGAGCGCTGCAAGGGCGGCGAGTCCGCGCGTGGAGGCGGCTTCCTCGCTCGCCCCCGCGGGCCCACCTCCCAAGGCTCGGACGCAGAAGGCCCGGAGTGCCGCTGCAGGTGGCGACGGCGACGCCGGCGCAGGGAACGCCCCGCCGCCAATGAAGGTGCCGGAGAAGCCGCCCGGGCGTCAGACGTCGACGCCCAAGACCATGGCAGACTTCTCGCGGGAGCTGGGGGAAGCCATGTCAAAGCTGGACGACCAGCGAGGCTTCTCGTTCCAGGAGGCGACGCCGCTCCTGCGCGAGGAGGAGGAGCCGTCCTCCTTGCCGTACACCAGGCTGCAGGTACTCCCCCCCTCCCATCCCTTGCGGCGCAAAGGATAATTGGCCCGGGGCTCCGCTTGATGGACACCTGTTGACTCGTTCGGCGGGGGGAGGGGTGCGTGGCAGACATTCAAATGAGTCCGCTCAAGTTCGACCGTTGTTATGGTTTCATTTCGTGATGATTTTACTTTAGAGGAATTAGATCTGCTTTTGCGTTTACTCAGATCGCCGTCTCGTGTCCCACCGTCTAGTTCAGGGATCAGAAGATACCTCGTTACGTCAGTACTTGCGGTTTGTCAGCGTCTGTCCGTTTGAATCAGGAGAAAGAACATGGGTTACTATTATTTTATTTTATTTATTTATTATTATTATTTATTTTACCGAAGCCTAGAACTTTCGAAGGCGCTATACAGAAAATATAATTCTGAGACCACCGGTATCTGTTTGCTTCTGATAGCGAGAGCCTTATTGTGCGCATACATTTACGTATTTGTTACCTTTGAATGTCTGATTTCCTTTGTCAAGAGAAAATATGTCACCGGTTGAAAATAGTTGTAGCATCTTCGTAGCAGTAGTAGTAATGGTGAGAATGACATGTTTGATACTACAATTATGATGATGCTAATAGTAATTATAGTATGATCACAATGGCAATGGTAATAACATTAATAATTATGGATGGTATTGACACTGGTAATAAAACAATGATAGCAATGATAATTACAACAATTACAATACTAATAACAAACTTAATAGCTATAATAATGTTAATGATGGTGATATTAATCTTTAATGAAGTATAATAATGTTAGCGATAAAGACCAGAAAATCAACTATTCTTAAATGTCACCTTAGGTCAGTGGATGCAAAGGTATAGCGTTCGGGACCCACGTTCGTGTCAAGAAAGGGTTAAGAGAGACATTTAAGCAGGCGAGGACGACGCTGACATAGGGCTCAGTCCCGAGAAGACCCTGTAGAGAACGGAATCACTCGTACAGAAAACGCAGGTCGATGAAAGGCAGGAAAAAATGGATAAATAGAAAGGGGGACAGAAAGGGAGAGGGTCGGATGGCAGACAGAGGACCAAAAAAGGAAGGGGGGGGGGCAAGCAGGCAAGCAAGCAGAAAGGTAGATTGGGGGAAGGGAGAATGTGGGGTGTATCTCTCTATGTGAATGTAGACACGGCACTCGTTACGCACGCACAGCAGGCACGTCGTTGTCATTCCCACGAGATAAGGTGATGCCACGATAATAACCAATTGCCTGACCGTTTGCTTTGCTGCAGTCACAGATAGACAGACAGACAGACGACAGGCACATACAGACAGACAGGCACAGACAGACAGACAGGCACAGACAGACAGACAGACAGACAAATACGTAATATGATCCCACTTTTTGGGCGTTATTGCTCTTCATAAAATCGTGCTTACGGCCGGTCACGCGCCACGCCGAAGACCGCATTCAACTGAGCGAACGGCGAGAGTTCATCCACGACTCGCGATCGGCTTCCGCAGGTGTCCTTAGTCGCATTTGGTGCAAGGCCGCGCGTATCGCCATGCAGGACCTGACCCCGGCGCTCCTTAGGCGGCTATTACTATTATTAATTCATCCTTCAGCTGCATATGTAATAGGAGTATGTGTGTTTGTACCTATATGTCTATATATACATATATACATACATACATACATACATACATAAATACATACATACATACATACATACAGACATACAGACAGGAGATACGTGAGTTTGCGTGCGTGCGTGCGTGTGCATGTGCACTGGGTTCCATAATAATAGGAGCCTTTTCCAAACTCGCCATTTTTACGTTTTTACATTTTTACAATTCTGCTGGAATCCTTATGCGCTTATGCATTTTATATTTGTTTATTGATGTTTATTATGTTATTATTATTGCTGTTGTTTATAATAATGATAATGATGTAAGTAATGATAAGTAGTAGTAGTAGTAGTAGTAGTAGTAGTAGTAGTAGTAGTAGTAGTAGTAGTAGTAGTAGTAGTAGTAGTAGTAGTAGTAGTAGTAGTAGTAGTAATGATGATGATAATTATAGTAATAGTAATAATACAAGTAACAATAAAAGTAGATGTGATAATTATAATAATAGTTGCAATATTATTATTTTTATTGTTTTTTTTTGTTGTTGTTGTTATTCCTTTTTTTTCTTTTTACTGAAAGGTAACACACTCAATCCTGAAGATGGAGTTGAGTAGGATTTCGAAACTCACATTTTTAATAAATCTTGTTTGTGCATTGTGGGTTTTTCTGC